AAATCACCACCGCCCTCCTCCGCTACCTCGACACCGACTCCCTCCTCTGCTTCGCCCCCCCACCCTCAGACCAAGACCACAACCAAGACGACCCCTCCACCACCACCCTCCACACGGCACAACAAACCGCCTACCAAACCACCACCACCTTCCTCACCACTCACCTCTGGCCCGGCCAACAGATCGTCCCCGTCCTCACCGACGGCTCCCTCCTCCCGCGCCCGCAAGCCCCCGGCACACGCGAGGTCGTGCAAGGCTGGATCCTGTCCTTATCCGCCTTCGAGCTGGCAGCGCTGGAGCGGGCGACGCTGGCGGGCAAGAGCCTGCTGGCGGCAGCGCGGCTGGTGGCGGAGTGGAGCGAGGAAGGGGCGCAGGCGGCTGTCCCTGTCTCTGTTCAGGGAGGGGAAGGGGGGGGTAGGGAGAGGTTTGGAGTGGAGGAGGCGGCGAGGGCGGTCAGTCTCGAGGTGGAGTGGCAGACCAAGAAGTGGGGGGAGGTGGAGGATACGCATGATGTTGAGAAGGAGGATCTGAGGCGCCAGCTGGGGAGTGCGGTGCTGCTGGTCTCTGGGACTGGGAATGGGACCGGGCCGAAGAGCGACTGAGTTGAGTTGGGGGAGTGGGTGTTGGGCTAGAAAGGGGAACTGTAACATATTCCTGTAACTTCGCTTTGAGTGCGTCCAGGTAGCATGTCTGCGTATTCTGTTAAGAACTAGATGTCTTCTCCAACAGATCAGTGTAAATAAATTGTTTGGCCACCATTCCCTCAGCTTAATTGATTTCCCTCACGAGCCACCCAGCAAGTTACTCACCCAAACCCAAACTACTACTGGGCCCCTGTCACTTGGTTTCAATCACACAAGACACGAGCATAATGAACATGTAAGGCTGCTATTTATGAGCTATCCGTTGAATAGGGGAATGCGCCTGTGTCTGATGAAACGTAGGAAATACTGAAAAGGCAAGCCGAAGAAGGAGAGTGCTACCTCTGAGTTGGGCACCCTGAAAGAATCCCCCGACCAGCCAGTGTTGGAAACCCATGAAATGTAACCATGAGGCCTTCCCAGCCTCCCAAGATATCTCTCTATACCGGTGTATCCCGTGAATCTTATGTCGAGAAGTTTGAATCCTGCAAACCAAGCAAATGGTCCTGTGAACCCTGTGTAAACCAGTGGCCGAACCAGATTCCACTTTGAAAAGAAAAGAAAACGCAAAGAGATCGGGAGCTTGAGCTCCAAGAGTGCAAAGATCATCCGCATGAGATAAACTCATCAAATGAACGCTGAAATTGCAAAAATCAGTGTAATCCTCATTGTGTTGAGGCGTATGTGCAGCTGAAAGTGCCGCTCGAAAAGAAATGTTGGATGGCATGTATCGTCTTTGAAACCACTGATGTATCGTCTTTGAAACCACTGATGTCGTGGTCTTTAAGACCACTGGTATTATGATCTTTGAAACCACTGGTGTTGCAGTCTTTGGAACCACCGGCGTGTAATGAGGACGCTCTTAAAAGCCGTCATAGACAAAGGCTTTGGCGTGCTCGGGAATAGCACCCTTCACAGCGGCATCGTCACGATCTGCCTGCGTGGCCATACGCTCCGGGTCCATGTACCGGGCTGTGAGAGAGAAGCGACGCGCTCCATCGGGATCGACAGTGTGCTAGTCTTGTCAGTCATGTACACCCTCGGGTAGATGGCACCGATTACTAACCTCATAGACTTTTTGAATCTCTGTCCCAACCATGACCATGATATCACCGTGCTTCATGGTGACCTCGAGAACCTCCTTGAAGCACGGCCTTCCCCGATCCTGGCGAGTGGGGAGGTTGAACCCGGTGTTGCGCTTGGGCCGGAACCGCATTAGGGAAGGCGATCCTAGGGCAAGAGCGGCAACGACCGGTCCAAGCTCGTGCTCGCCGTCATCGTGATACTGCGGTTGGGAACGTTGGTTATTATGCAGACAAGGTAGAAAGGGAGACACGTACGTTGATCTTGTCATCCTCCATATATCCGAGTGCCAGGAGCTCATTGAAGTCCCCGTCAGTGGGAACAATGGCGTGCTCGCTGACAGACTCCGCAGTCAAGGTACGCATGAAGTTGTTGGACGCTTTAACAGAGACCTGCTTTGCCCAGATCAGGCGCTGCAGAGCACGGAGAATGATGTCGGGCGCCTCATCAAAGCCCTTTGACTGGACGGTCACGCCGAACTTATACCTCGCACCCTGTTATCGTCAGTATACGGTGGTACCTGTCTTGGTGTGAAAGGGCACTTACAAAGTTCTGCTGGAAGTGGCGAGTATATCCCTCGAGCTTGTCTGTACACACATGTTGTTAACGTCCGTTCCACTGTGGCTTCTCAAAGTCACTTACGGCCAACCACAGCAGCTGGGTTCCGGCGAAGACCAATGTCCGTGAGTTCGAGAGTACGGAAGAGGTCATCCGGACCATTGGGCTTGGTGAGGACCTTTGGCTTGGCCGAAAAGATGCTGAACGAACCGAGAATCTTGCCTTCACTGTTAGGCAGATAATACTGGCGAACATTGTAACCGCCCCAGGGTGAGAGTCTGGGAAAGGGGGATACATTCACGGTTATAGACGGTAGCGATTGTGTCATTTAGGAAATCCTCCCGGTTAAATTTGTTGTCGTTCACACCGTTGCTGTTCCGCCTCTTCCCCATCTTGGAGTCAAAGGTCTTAGTCTCCTTCTCCAGAAGACCCTCTGGGTAGGGGCGCATGAGTGCGTCGAGCCTGTATTCACACTCAGGGTTTTCGCATTCCCAATGATTCCAGTAGACCCGGCGGTTGCAGCAGCCGCAGTCCGGGCACACATAGCCACGGCGAAGGGCTATCTCGGTGCCGTGAAGACCGGCAGGGTCAATTTTAGCAGGGATGACCGAGGGAATCTCTCCAACGAAAGGAGTGCGCTCATTGAGGAAGGCTTTGTTGTAGGCAAGACGCAGGATGTCAACCGAGCCGCCAGTCGCATACAAGAAGTAGTGCTCGCACTCGGAGTTAAGGCAGAACCAGCCGGAAGTGAAGATCTCCTTGCTCGGAGTGTTGCACTGAAGGCAAGTGACGACGCGTGCCTTCACGCTCATGTCGACAGGGACAGGAGGATCGGATTGGACAGCATACCCGGCTTGGGGGGCCCACCAGGAAGGCTCGGCCAGATCGGCCTTTTCAAAGCGCATGCGCCAGATTGTGACTGGCATATGCGCGCCCTCAGGAACTTGCTTCTCCTTCCAGACATCTGTGATGTGGAAGTACCCCAGGACAGCATAGGGGTGGGAACAGCAGCTCGGATAAAGGGGGTGGCCCTCGCCTGTGTGGTTGGTCAATATTATGGTCGAAGAAGAGCGTGAATTATACGGCTTACCAGCAATCACAGCAACCAATGACTTGTTGCGGTGCGCGTTGCGGATCGCCTTGGTGTTGCTCGCTGTGTCCACAGCATCCTTAGTACGAATCATGTTGCCAGTCCCGGGATTCTTGACCCGACCGCCGCCCCTACAATTATTGATTAGCAACGGCTTAAGTATCTCAAGGCATGCGAGGGAAGTCTGATTGCCCGGGGAGAGATGAGTCTTGACTTACACCGAGGAGATGATGACCTGTGCGCCGAACACATCCCGTTGGTCGACCTCCTGGTCGATGAGAAAGCCCTGGCAAACCACATTTGAGGAATGAAGGCTCGATTTGAAGGACCGGAAGTAGGGCAGCGCCTCGCAAAGGCTGCCGCGGGCTTTCGCCCAAACCAAGGGCTTGCCCCACGAAGGAGGGCCGTCGGCGGTTGCGTTGGCAACCTTGGCAACCTTCGTCTTCCGAGCAGGGCGCTGCTCGTTGGTGGCCTCGGCCATCGACTCCATGATGGTCTCCATGGAGTTGTCGTGGTCGTCCTCGGCGTTGCTGGTGTAGCGTGCAGATTGCGAGGTATCTGACTGCGGGGACGGGGCGGGCTCTTCTTCCTGGGCTGTAGGCCCAGTGCTGTGGCGAGCACGCTTGGTCGGCTTGGGCTCCTCATCTTCACTCCCGTCCAAGTCCTGCATGGCCCGCTTCATGGCGGTCTTTGCGCGGTGGGAGGCAGAACGGCTCGAAGTCCGCGGAGCAGCCATGGTGGATGGCTCGGCGGCGCTCGACTTTTGGGCGGCGGCGTCGATGACGGAACCCATGCTGGTGGTGGCTCTCGTTTGTGGGTGGCGGGTATATATAGTTCTCTACTCATTTGTCAGTCAGATGAACTTTCAAAACAAACTTAGTGTGTGAAGCAGATAAATAGCGGCAAGCAGGAAAATGGAGGGCAAAATAATGACAGGAACTGGTGCCAGGAGGCCCGGCCGACTCAATGTATAAGACTCTGAAGCCATTCACAAGGGTTTTGGGACACCCGCGCCACTATTGGTGTAGCATCAAAGCAAGCGTTGAATTCTTGGGGATGGTAGTCTTACCTTGTTGGTGGTGGTTCTTGATAGTTCACTAGAATGTCTTTGTCAGTATCTGTGCTAAAGTACTTGTATCGCGGTCTCTAGGTGGTGGTAGATCGTGCCAGAATTGTCTCAGGGCTCTGAGAATGAAAACGCAACTGTGAAGGGGCTTTTCTCGGTCGCTCAATTAGCGTGGACACTCGTCTCAGCGGGTTTTGCTCAGCCGCCCAACCAGTGTAGACACTCGCCTGAAGGGGAGGACGGGGGCAACGGGTTTGGAGAAGGATGGGAGCGGCGGGTTTGAGAGAAAATGGGAGCGGCGGGTTTGAGAGAAAATGGGAGCGGCGGGTTTGGGAGAGGTTGACAGCAGCGGGCTTGGTAGAGGTTGACAGCAGCGGGCTTGGGAGACGATACGGGCAGCAGGTTTGAGGGAAAATGGTAACAGCGGAAAGGATGGGTGAAGTGTTTGTGATGCTTCCTGCATTGCAGGCGTGAAGGCTAAGAGGGAACCTACAAGCAGTGGTTACTGGTGGTAGATTGGAGAGGGAAAAGGGAAGAGTTCGAGAGAGAAATTGGGAAGGGGAGAGGAAGAATTTATCCTGGGGGATGGGAAAAGAGGCGCCTGAGGCGGAAAGGCCAAAAGAGGCTCAACACTTCTCTTGGGAAGGTACTAAGCCTCGGGCCTCCCCAATTCAGTTCATTCTGTTGATGGGCGTCTGAACTGTTGAGCCTTCCCTCTTGGGGAAATGGAAGGGGAGAGTGAAAAAGGGAGTGTAATGCGCAGGGGATTTGTGATACTGGTTGGGGCAAAATCATGAAGGAATATGTAGTCTTTGGGTTTGAGGAAGAAGAGAGGGGAGAACCCGTTGCCCGAAAGTGCCAGGAACGCAGAAACACACAAGCAGCTTGGAGTATTGGGCTAGGATATCGATCCAGTGAGGCTACTCACAGGACGGGCAGATTGGTGTTTGGGTAGGGATGGGTAGGGAGTGTGAGGGCAGTGAACACTTACGATGTGGTTGTGAGTTGTGGTTGTGGGAAGAAGGGAAGAGTGGGAAGAGTGTGGAGGAGTGTGGGAGAATTTATATCTCTTGGATCCTTGGCCTTTTCAGCCTGGCTGGTTGCGCACCTGCAGAACTCCTGGCGATACTGGAAGTCTGGGAGTCTAGAGGGCGGAAGGACCGATAGTTTGAATGGGACGATCTTGAAAAAAAAGTAGGAAAGTCCTTGGAAAAAGGTGGTGGGAAGGAGCCAACGCGGGTGAGGCAGCAAAGTCAAGACCAAGAAGAATTTGCAGGCCCGCTCCCCCAATTATGGGTGGTGATGATGGGTGTCAAGGAAGGTACGATGGTAATGAGGGCCATTAAAGACCGCACGGTCCACCAGAGGGAGCTCTGTAGTGTGGTGGGTGATTTGAAGCAATACAGAAGTGATCTTTGTGGGTGAGGGTCACGTGTGGTTCTGGCAGCCATATCAGACGACTCTGACGACTCAGAATGCCCACCATGAAAAATTTTCACTTGGTGTAGGCTGTATATAGAGGATGGATAACTTTGGAAATGCAACTTGCCTGAGCAAGTGAGGGAGATTCTGTGGTGCCCATATATAGACACCGGACGAGAGACAGAGAAAGCAGCTTCAGCAGACAAACAGTGATTGACCTCATTTATGGAGTCATCATGGAAATGACAACAAACTGATTCATGACTACATGTTTGATGAGTTAGAGTAGCAACATCATGCAGTTAAACTGGAACACTGAAACACCCTCGTCAATCAAGGTGTAGGCAGACATATATTATACCCGTTGCTTGAGAAAGACCTTGCGTGATCCTGGATGATCCTGCGTGATCCTGCGTGACAAGCTTTGTCAATTACGACAAGTTGCTTTGACAGTGGTAATAGGGGTAACAACAGGAGTTGGGTTGATATCCAAGGTACCTAGGTCATGTTTACTATTCTCAGGGGCTACCTAATCAGTGGCCGGGTAACGGTCCGTGCTCGGTCGGTTCCGTTGGTCTTAGCCAATCCTCTCTCTCTTTCTCTTGGATCAAAGAACAAATGGAAATTTAAAGCGGGCACATCGGTTCTGACTCTGCATTACCGAGACAACACCGGCAGTGAGGGTGTGGTGATGCAGAAAGTCGCGCTCCACCAAATTCGGGTTCTCCACCGCCCCTGTTCAGTCTCACGCGTTGAAGCCGAGGGATTGGGGAGTGCGGGGTAGTTCGGTAGTGTGCCTTGGCAGCAGCGAGAGACATGGGGAAGTGGGGAACCAAGGCACGGAAACAAGGAGCGGCTAACGGTCGGGATAGGTGACGAGCAAAGGGACAATTTAATTGAAGCCATGACAGTCTCCAAGCACGATAACATCGGTTAACCACTTTGACATGTATTTTCAAGGTCACAAAAACCAAAGGATGGAATCAAGCGAAAACGGCTTTTTTGTGAGGTACCAACAATCGCATTGGCATATTTGTTGTATCATGTCATTCCACACACACATTTGCGGCATGGTGGAGACAGTTTGTTAAAATGTAGGGGACCCGACTTTCTTGTAGCACTGCCCTGGGTTTGCTGCAAGCAGGGGGCATTGATTGGGGTTGGGTTTGGGGACCAAATGTTGGAGAGGGAGACGACTTCGACAACCTCGCCCACACCTCTATTCCTGTCAGGTGACTTTCTTTACATAAGATTCCCTATTTTCGATAGCCAGTGGTCACCGCATCACCAGATACTCACCATCCACTGCAGTATACCCTCAAAACCTGTCCCAATTCGATCCTTTTCTCTATCCCCAGTTCCTTCCAATCTCCGAAAGCTAGTGCAGACTCCGGGTCGCGTGAGCGAAGTGATCCATTCCAGCCATCAAAACAGCAAAAGCAAGGCACATTGGCAACGACAGTAACACCAGCAACATGGTTTTCTATCCTCCGCCATGGGTCCCTAAGCTTCCATTTGGTAAGTTGAATTGACGGCAATGAGATCTGTATTGGTACCTAAGGTAGTGTATATACTAATCTTGGACAGACCCGCCCGACTCGGTCATCCATCGGGGAGTTCATGAGGAACGAGATCTACGGCCGTTGTCCTATCTCCAAGAGCCGGAATCCCTTCACCTGTGGCCTTACCGGCAAGACATACACTGTTACCGAATCACACAAGCGCTCCGATCTCATTGCCAAGTCATTGGCCAAGGTCATGGGCTGGGAGCCCAATGCCGACTCTCCTTGGGACAAAGTGGTCGCAGTGTTCTCTTTCAATACCGTGAGTATTTCCTTGCTCTGTATGACATATAAGTTAGCGAGTGGCCTGAATCTCACCCTTTTCATAGATCGACTACCTTTCCGTGCTGAATGCCGTGCACCGCTTGTCCGGTGTCGCTACACCCGCCAATGTCGCATACTCGGCAGAGGAGCTAGAGCACCATCTCAGGTCTTCTGGTGCTAAAGCATTGTTTACCTGCGTGCCCGTGTTAGAGACAGCGCTCATGGCTGCCAAGGCATTGGGGATACCTAAGGACAAGATCTTCTTCATTGTATCTCTCCCAT